AGAAATACTAAGTGGTTTATTTAAAAACAAACACCCCCCCAAAAAAAAACACGAGGTTTTCGTTCCATTTTTGACGATAGAAAACAGACAACGCTGCGATTCAACTCATAGCCGAGATAGAATCATTTTTCTCGTGCGTAAGTGAATGCAACGGACTCGACTATAATTCGAACTTGGACCTCCAACTTCAAATTCCGAGCTGATATTCATTACAGCACAATGGAGATCACATAATAAGTTAATTGCAGCGGCGAAAATTGAACTCAAAGAAAACCGAAAAATGAAAATTAACCCTATGAGTCCTAACCACAGTTTTACCGGTGGTAGAGAAAAATGACGTAACGTACTGCCAACGTGTTGAACACTGGTAAAGAAAAATGACTTAATACAGGAAGAAAGGTTAAAATTATTCAGGAACACACGGCTCAAAGGTTTAATTATTTAAATAAGACATCGTCGATTACTGTTCTCGATCCGACTTCAATATATAATTATAGTCAACCTAATTACAATCACGTAAAGTAGTAACAAGAGTTTAATTATGATAATCTGATTATTCAAGTAAGAACGTGATTTGACTTCTCAAGATATTCAATGAGATTGTCAGGCTTTTTAGTCATTCAGAATTAATCCTTTTCGTCAACACTTTTATTTCCGACCATGGGTTAGGAAAACTGTTGTCAACACGTTCTATCTTTTCACCATCTTTCTCTCTCTGTATATATTCTCTTTATGTGATTGTTATGAATAATCCAGAGTGATCTCCCCTTGTTTTATTATTCTCCTCATTGAGAGAGTTATTTCTGTTTACTGGGACTATAAAAGGAGACTTTACGAGAACCTTATATTCTCAGGTGAAAAAAGATTTCTTAAACCGTACACCTGCGTACATTTATCATTAAACCCTGTTTCTAAAAAAATGCGCCAAATCACTTAAAGCAAGAAGAGATAGTAAATTGTATTTGCCTGATATTGGCATCTCCATTTTGTAATGTGCGTATTGGGCTGCCCCTTTTACTGGCAACCATACATTCTGCCATGTTTCTGTTGATAATTAGACCTTTCTTCTCGCTTTCAAAAAAGGATAAAAATAATAAAGAAATGGCTATATTTATGAAATCCGTAGAAGATTGGCAATAATTTCAGGAAAAAGTGGTAGTCTTTTGAGAAAGAAATATGATGAATACGCTGGTGTCATTTTTAACTTTATTACTGATCATTCATATAAATAGAGCAAGTGAGTTTATAGGCGTAATGGTAGAAATTATAGCTTCAGAAGTCTTTTAACAATTGGCTTATTCGTTCGCACTTGAAGCGAGAAGAGATAGCAAAACCTACTTATTACTAGGTACAGTGTAACCCGGATATAAGAGATCCTGATATAAGAGAAACCCGGATATAAGAGAAATTTTATCTGGTGCCCAAATTAGAGCCTGTATTAATGTATATAAATAGACCAAACATGGATATAAGTTAAAATCTCTACCACTGTGTTATGAATAATCAAGAGTGGCCTCTGCTTGTTTTGTAACTCTCCTCTTTGAGAGAACTATTTCTGTTTACTGGGACTATAAAAGGACACTATACGCGAACCCTGGATTTCCAACTGAATAAAGCTTTCTTAAAGCCCACACCTGCGTACTTTTGCCATTACAGTATGTAAATTTTTAAACATTTTAAAACATATGCACGGTCACTTATCTCACATGTGTTGTATACTGTAATTACCGCTTACTAAAATTTGCAAGGTCATTACTAGGTACCACCAAAAAAGCTCCTTTACACACACACGCACCTTAAAAGTAATTTAGATGTCTTCGTTGAAGTAGGATTTTGATTTTATTTGAAAGATAATAATAGCCAAAAGCTAATCCGTACAAAAATTAAATTTATGTGTCATGAATAATCAAGAGTGGTTTCCCCTTGTTTTGTTACTCTCCTCTTTGAGACAGCTATTTCTGTTTACTGGGACTATAAAAGGACACTATACGCGAACCATGGATTCCCAGTTGAATAAATCTTTCTTAAAGCCTACACCTGCGTACTTTTGTCATTACAGTGCTATAACTCGGTTGGTTGTTGATAAACTTCATGACTTCAACCACTGTTTCTTTATGTTGTGTTGACAGCTGTTAATACGGTTCCATGTAAAAATGATGCATTACAATCATCCTGTAAACATTAAAAAAGAAGAGGGGACAAGAAAACATTGATAAAACTGTTCCGGGACGGTCTGCTAGACAAAATGATGTTCAGATTCATCACCAGGCAAAAAATTGAAATATTCACTTGAGTCAGAAATAATATTCGTTTTTGTTTATAAAATTTCTTCTCCGAAAAAAGAGGACATTTACATTTTATATTCTTATAAAATCACCATTAAATTCCAACTTTTTCGTTGTCCTAAATATGACGATAACTTCCACCCGGCAACAAGTCGTCTGACCAGGATTTGAGGGGCGTGTAACTACCTCTTAAATGCAGTTGTTTCTATGTCTACCCTCACCAGGGATGGTAGCACTTGTTTGGTTCTTAGGTGTGGACAAATAGTTGAACCTCAAACTGTTGTCATAAAAAGTGAAAAAAAAAAGAAGGTATTTATTATAAAAAAATACCAGTAATACATTTTTGAAAAAAAATTACCATCAATACATTTTGAAAAAGAATTATTAACAGCAATATATTTTGAAAAAACAAAATTAATCAGCAATATGTTTTTAAAAAACAAAATTTATCAGCAAAAAATTTTGAAAAAAAAAAAGAAATATTACCAGCAATACACCTTTGGGAAAAAAAATACAAGCAATAGATTTGACTCGTGACAAAAACCCACTTTACAAAAATAAGTCAATAAATCCTGATATCCTAAAAACTGATTTCTTACAAAGAATACATATTTTATTCATACAAAGCTATCTTTAAAATCTTGTCGGCATTAAATATGCCACTGAAATTGATCTCTATCTATAAAAGGCAGGAAATGTGTTGTGTGTGTGTGTGTGTGTGTGTGTGTGTGTGTGTGTGTGTGTGTGTGTGTGTGTGTGTGTGTGTGTAACGAATGCATGGCCGCAACTGTGGACGGATTTGCACCAAAATTTACATGCACATGCTCCAAGTTAGTGGGAAGGCCAAGACAAACGTTGCATTTCTCAACTCCCATCGATAGTGTAAATAATCAATTTTTTCATGCTTCTATAGCAGTTTTCATGTAGTTTGCGGCCATTTTGTACTGGCCAGAGTGAGAGCCTTTAGCTGGCTGCCAGGAATAGGCAGGAAGATTCTATTGGCCAGCGTGAGAGCCAACAGCTGACTGACACGAATGTTAACTAGCATGCTAGCATGCAAAAAAAATCGATAGCTGCATTCGTCACAAGTGTGAAAAATTTAAATCTGCATGGCACTTTACTCCAATTGGCTCATTCGCTTGCTTAAACTAAACGTTGATTATGATTCGGAAGAACTGGGTTGGGTGTGAAAAAGTATTTGTTGTTAACATTCTTTTTTCATTAGGTTTTTCCAGTTACGATTCCTTTTTTAAAGCTGATCGTTTTGTGTTCATTTTGTTTAGTTCTTTTTTCGTAACAGATTTAATGTTTAGTATAGATCTTAGAAAAAATTCGCAGTGTGAGAAGTAAGGCATGTAGCAACATCAGCACGGCAAAGGGAACTCTTTTAAAGGCAAGGAAAGGCAAAAATATTTTAAGTCAAATGATAGCAATTGCTGTATGCTTCGTACGATTTTTTAATCAAGCACGGGCAACGCCGGGCCATGCTGCTAGTATATCATAGAACATAATAAACTAAACCAACTCTTGTGGTTTCTGTAGTAATCATTTTTAAGTTAAAGCTCCTGTCCCCCTCACCCAACCTTTTAAGTGACATTCAACAGATTGAGATATGTTGAATCAAGTTTACACAGTAAAAATTAAATTGTAAGCGTGGGGTTAATCACATCATCTGCCACCAGTTTCTGAAACGGTGTCTCTTAAATGGAATCCATCTAACTGTTAGATAGGTTCCATTTAAGATGATCTCGCCAAATCCTAAATGTGCCTTGGAGAAATAGAATCAGGAACGAGGAACTGCTAAGAAGTGCAAATTCTAGAAAATTGCAATTGTGTCCGATAGGCGGATACTGTTCTCAGCCTATAAACTGAGATTGTCTGACAGTCGATGAGGCAAAGTTGCGATAAACTGGATACCTCTAGGCTCTAGCAGACAAAAGTGCCGTCCTAAAATGACATGACGTACTGCAGAACAAAATCTTCAATTTTCAGCCTTGACTGAGATCAAATTCGTTTACACTACCATGCGAGTAATGACATTTTCCATGGCAAATGTTCGGACAAGCTCCATATTATAGTTTCGTCAATTCAAACCGTGACAGAGCCGAATCCCTCTCATTCAATTTTTATTTCAGTTTGTAAGAAGGAAGTTCAACTAAGACAACTTTTTTTCCCAAGCACAGCTACTTTGTCAAATAGACTCCTTAATGGATGCTTCCCTGGACACTATAACATCAACCTCTTCAAATCTGGGATTAATTGTTACCGATCCTGCATATCCACATAATCCTCACTCCCTACTCTTACATTCATATCACATACCTCATTCAGTAAACTCTACCTTGAATAGATTTGAGCCTTGTATTGAAGGAACGCTATTTTCAAAATCTTATTCTTAATTGTTTATTAACATCTCTTGTCTCTTTGCAATCTAAGTAGCATCTGTCAAATCTTGTCGAAAAGCCTCTCCCCGCCTTCAGTTCACACGCATCAACTTGTTCCGGGCCCCACGACTTGCCCTAGCTCTATCTAAGTAGAGGGGAATGGAGGCTCGTTGCTGTGCGTTGCCTGAAGCAACAAGGTAGCAAGATTAGATATTATTTACAACGATTGTTACCAAATATCAGACAGAAAGTCGATAGCTTTTGAGTAAAATTTCGCAGGCTTTGCTGTGAAAATGTTTTCGACGAATTCTTGAATGTGGCTTACATTAGGCTGGCGGTCATATCACTTTGAAACACTAGTTTTCTTACTATCACTGAAGTTAAGCAACATCAAGCCTGGTGAGTAACTAGATGGGTGATCGCTTGGGAATATCAGGTGCTGTATTCTTGGATGTGCAATTGGTGTGAGGGATAACAGCTCCGTATTACAAATCGGAGAAGCCAGTTCCAGTCGGGTTCGTTATATTTAATTACGCGCAAATACTCTTGGGGAAGGCATGAAACCACCTTTTCTCTCCCCAGTTATGGGTTAAGTAGCAGGACTTTTATCAGTAAACATTATTTAAAAAATATTCTTACAATTTAAAAAAAAAAAATTTTCTGACTTAAAATAAAACCTTAAGGAGGTTGATAAGCCGTAAAAAACAAATCAGTCAATCAGTTATGGTTTACATTAAAGAGAATGTTTCCCATGTAAGCGTTTTGCGACGAGTAAAAAGGCAATAATCGGCGTGTGCAAGATCAGATGAATAATACAGGTGGAGTAGAAGAGACTAACCGAGCTCCCAAATTGTTTTCTTGTGTTCTTCTTACTGTATGCGACATTACGCTGTCATAAGGGAGATCTGTTGTTTCTTCTTTAATACAATGTAGACTACCATTGTCTTGCAAAATCTCAGGTATGTTATTCCAAATTTTCTTTTCGTAATCACCACGTTTGATTAGGAGACAAGGTGATACATTCATTATTGCACTTGAATCCGCAAAACTAAAACTACTTAGTCGGCATCGGAGTCGGCTTTATCTCTTATCTAATAATTTAATTTCTTCTTTGATGATAGGCGTTGATACCTTATCGCCGTTTAGCTTTCCAAGAGGTGAAAGAAGATCAGAGTAGACCAAAGTGCCGATGACTTGAATTTGTTTAGAGGTGAACCTGCTAGGAAACGACTCACAGACTTGATTGCATGATCTTCCTTTGTCTGGATTGAGACATACGGAATCAAGTTATGAAACTTCAACAGACCGAAGACTGTTATAATTTTCAAATGACGCCTTCTGTGGCATATCCGTCAAGTGTAGCCATCTTCATCCGCTGACTCAACTGATGAAATCTGTTATCATCATCATACATTTTGGCAGGGTTTGGCATACAGGTCTTCTCCATAAAGAAAAGCTACTGTGTCTCTGGACTCATTTTTGAACTGATCCAGTCTTTATTACCAAATCGTGAAGCTATGGTACCAATATGAATTTAAGTGCAGTACTAGATCTGCAGCCGTATATTTGCAGATGAGCGGCCTAGATGTAAGAATAAATTCTATGCTAACTACTTTTTTTCTTGCACTTTTCGCTTGTGGAACTCCCTTCCGACTCTATGCTTCCCAGTCAACTTTAATATGCAAAAATTTAAATGCAATGTCAATCGCTATCTACTATCTTCCTGATTACTATTTTCTTTTCCGCTCATTATTAATGTTTCTGTTCCTAATTCTTCCACACCTTGTAACCCCCTTGTGTCTTAGTGGCTTTACTATCTTGCATGGGGCGATGATAAATAGTAGTTTAGCAGACTATTATATTTTAGAGAATTGTATTTAGCTCTGAATTATTCATTTTGACCTTTGAGGTCAGATAAAGGAAACCAAAGGAAGTCGATTTGATTCGTTAATACTAGTGTGGGAATGTTACATTGCGAACGGTTTTTGGAGAGTTAAGTTTTACACGTCAAAGAATGTAGACGTTTTCCTCTCATGTCTGGTAAGCGGCACCCTAATGGCAGCGAGAGAGCAACCCCACTGGCTAGTTAGGAAATGTACACGTCGAGGTGGTGAATTGATTAAGTTAAAATTCCCTGTTCTTTCCTTTTAACGCCGGAGAGAAACAACTAGCGATCACCGGCTGTGAGAGAGAGAGAAGGCAATGTAAACATGATAGGATCGACATCGTCGTCTAAAAGACCCAGAAGAGGGGTTTATACGACATAATACAATTTGGCACTGTCAACAACAGGACCTCAGAAGGGGCAATACAACAGTGATAGCGATTAACAAAAAAGAACTTCTGCATGTTCCACCGTTGGGGTTTTGGGTTTTGTCGTGCTTAGACTCGGAGCTCGTCTTCAAACTAGCCTTCAAGAATGGCCAGACCAGGAGTTTAGAACTCCTGACGGCATCGCTCTCAGAGTCACTTGACTTCGCAAACCTCTCCACTACGACAAGGAACGACTATCATCTACTTATAACTTAACAAAAACCGTAGAGTTTCAACGTCATTTTCTTTCTTTTAACTATATTTCCTATCTCTTAAAATTTTTGTCATATATTCTTTCGTGACAATCAGTTTTCAGTTAGCGATGTTGCTGTAATCTGACAGATCGAATTCATCTGTTTTGACATCAGCAGACATCTACTTCAGCACCTGCAAAAAACTGAATTAACTTTAAAAGCAAAAACTTAGTAGTTGCGGTAACTATTGTTACAAAACAAGTAAATCATGCTGCTTAGAAGAAATATACCTTCCTTTACTGCTTAGAAAAGCAAACTCTAAATTATTTACTGTTTAGAAAACGGGAGCCTAAAAGATTAAACAGCTGGCAAAATATAGACTGAAACTATAAAGAAAAAAGATATGTGCATGAAAAGCACCCATATATGGGTTAAATAGCAAGTAAATCAGGACTCTCTAGCTTTCATTATTAATCAATGATAGGACAAATTTGAATTCAAAACTCTATGTGGCTATAGAATATTAGATCGAGAAAGATTTTTCGAGTGAGTTAAGTTTTACACGTCGAAGAATGTAGCCGTGTTCCTGCTGTATCTGGGAAGCGGTTACCCATTAGGGTTGAGAGAGCAACCCCACTGGCTAGTTAGTAAATGGACACGTCGAGGTGGTGAATAAAATCGTTTAGTTAAAATTCCTTGTTCTCTCCTTTTAACCCCGGAAAAACGGCCAGCGATCACCGGCTGTGAGAGAGACAGAAGGAAACGCCAATATGAGAGAAACGACACTATCGCCCAGAAGACCCAATATAGTGGGTTATAGGACATAATACAATTTGGCACAGTCACCAACAGAGCCCCGGAAGAAGAGGCTATACAACAGTGATACCGATTAAAAAAAAAGAAAAAAAAACTTCCGCTGGTTCCACCGTAGGTGTTTTGGGTTGGTCCTCTTCAACCTTGCCGTCAAGTGTGGCCTGATCAGGAGTTTAGAACTCCTGACGGCATCGTTCTCACAGTCACTGGTCTTCACAAAATCTCTCCAACACGACAAGGAATGATCATCATCTACTTATGACTTAACAAAACCCGTGGATTTTCAACGTTATTTTCTTTCTTTTAACGATATTTCCTATCTCTTAAAATCTTTGCCATATATTCTTGCATGACAATCAGTTTTCAGTTAGCCATGTTGCTGTGATTTGACAGATCGAATTCACCTGTTCTGACATCAGCAGACATGTCGTCAAGCACCCGCAAAAAAAAACTAAAGAAACGTTAAAAGAGAAAAATTTAGTCGCTGCAGTAACTTTTGTTTCAAAACAAGTAAATCATACTGCTTAGAATAAATATAACTTTCTTTATTTTTAAGCAAATCGCACCAAACAAGGCGGGAGAGCCACTAGCACGCAGGGGGGTTACAGAAAGTGAGAATTAGAATCAAGAGGAGTGATTGGGAAAAGGATAAAGAGAAGGAAAGGATCAAGATCAAGGCATCAGATGTCGATTGACACTACATTGGAATATTTAAAGATTATAGCTATCAGGGAAGACAGTGATAGGAAGGGAGTTCCACGAACAAGAGGTACGAGATAAGAATTTGTTGGAGTAGAAAAGATGGTTACACTTACCCGTTGGCATTTCCGTCCCACCCATTTACTGTAGAGTAAAAGGGTGGGACGGAAATTCCAACCTAGTAGCACGCTTAAATTCATGCAGTTTAGGAACTAATGAAAGTAGCCCGTCGGAGAAGCAGACTTTAAAATACGTACTGTTTAGGAAACAGGAGCCTAAAAAATTAAACGGCTGGCAAAATATATAAGCTAAAACTAAAAAGAAAAAAATATGTGCATTAAAAACTCCCAGATATGGGTTAAATAGCATGTAAATCGGGATTTTATAGCGCGGCCATTGACTGGTGCGCTGAAATTTCCGACGTTTCGAAAGTAAAGAAAAAAGGATTTGATTACTGATTGAAGATGTTTAAATAGAAAAGGTTCTTAATTTAATTTCATGAGCTTACGAGTATAGCACGTTAAAACAAAGGTCCTCGTACGATCACTGAATTTAAGCTACGTAGAGCATGAGGAAATACCGGGATTGGAAATTCCAGGTGCTCTAAGTTTGGATATAAGTGTTGTAGAGGAAATTAGATGTTACATAGCACTTCAGCACTTTTCTTTCTATCCTGATAATAGAATGAAATGCTTCGTAAGGCTTTACCTACTTTTCATTTATTCAAGTAAATATCAGATATGTATTATGGTGTAATGGATATCGGCTCTGAATGAGAAACCGGAGAGCCGAGTTCGAATACCAGTCGAGTTCGTTAAACTCACGCGTAAATAGACTTGAGAAAAAAAAAATGAAAACCAAACACTCTCCCTCCTAGCTTTGAGTTCAGTAGCAGAACAGAGAGGTTCCTATAGCCTTGGTTGGCAACTAGTCTACTGTATAAATTAACATACGCCTACTGCGGAAATTCTTCTCTCAAGTCAATCATGAATTGAAGTGACCTCATCCCCCCCCCAAGCGTGCATCATGCATAACACTAAACGAAGGAAGGAAAATGATTTCAGGAAATATCGTACATAAATACAAGAAAAGGTCGTTAAGGTGGGAACTCGCTGTCTCCCTATACCTTTCTTGATTCACTATATAAGGTGAGTCTCACATTCCCAAACCCTCTTTCCTCATTATATATCTCGTAATTTTTTAACGATTATATATATATATATATGCCCTTTTTGTTTCCATTCCACTTAGAACTTCCTAGTTGATTACGTGTTTTATCCATAGCATTCTCAGAATTCTTCTGTAGAACCACATCAATGTTGCCTTAAATATTCACTTCATCTGCACACCTTGTCGGAATATGCCGACTGCAGGCCTTCGGACGGGTAAGATCCCTCTTACCTAATGAGGCCACCTGTTTGCCTTTG